AAAACTCCCACTTGGGGGCAGGGGTGGCCATTGGGGACATTTCTTGGTGAAGCTGTTGCAGTGAGAGTGGACCCAGAACAGCTCCCATCAGCCAAAGCAGAGACTCCTTATGTGTAGCTTAAAAAGCAGAGGGAACACCCATCAGCAGGGCTGGCTGGCTAAACTGAGAATGCTGCAAGAGGAACAGTGGCAGCTGCCATGGGAGGATGTGTCCTTCCCAGTTATCCATCAGCCACTGAAGCAGAGGGCCTCAGGGGACCCCCATGCCCACCCAGCATGGGTGTGGGCCTCTGGGAAGACAAATACCACAGTCACCATTGCCTTTGGCCTTCTTCTGTAGTCTGTCATGAAAATATTCCCTAATAAAACAATGATATTATTATTTTATAATAATTTTATAATTTTACACTTTAGTATAACTGGCAACAACAGCAGTAAACTACTTATGATGTAGTTAGAAAACAACTGGGTGTCAGGAGCAAATCCTGGAGTTTGGCCATGTGTGAGCTGCAGGGCCTTCAGCAGAAGCATAAGGCAGAAGCAAAAGAAAACAAGTGTCTTTATGGTGTTCAGCTCTAGAGATGACGGGACACCTTCCTGTGATGGGACAAATGACTGAAGTCCACCCAGATCATTGACTTGTTCAGTCATCCTGTCCAATTATTCACAAGGAATGGACAGATCCACCAGTGCATGGGATTAGAGGGAAATGCGATAGAAAACTACCCACTGAGGCTGCTGGGTTGGGATGGTTTGGCTGTCCCAGCTGTGCTGGAAGGGCAGCAGAAGGGATTCACTCTTGGTCTTTTAAGGCCCAACTTTGTAAAGACCCCTTCCTTGCCACCTTCACACCCCTACTCCATGGCACACAGGGAGAGTATTAAAGCATGTAGCAGCTGTCTTCAAAAAATCCTTCATGAAAAATAAAGTGTTATTTATTAACAGGTTTATAGACAGAGTACAAACTACTGGTGAGTTGCCCTCCATGTACATCTTTGGGAACAAAACAGGTTTAGAATGCCCAGTGTTCTGGGATGCAGCAAGTAAAATGATATCCAAGGTTCTCTGTTAGAAATACATTAATTTAAATGAATGTGTTGCTTAAGAGACCAAAAAAAAAAAAAAAAAAGAAAAGAATTGCAGTTGCTTTCCTTTTCCTGCATGACAATTCCTCCCAGTCCCACCTATCCTCTACAAGACTGGAAAATGGCTTTTCAAAGAGTGTTGTTAGTACCATGGGGCAATGCTCTGGTTGTTTTCATGCTGATATTTATTTGCTGCTTTGAGAGGTCATTTATCTAAATATTTCCAAATTCCAGGTGCACTCAGAAGGTTCACCTGAGAGACTAGTGGTGAATTACTTATCAAAATCAGATGAATTAATGGGTAGCAAATCTACCCACTCTCTAAGGTAGAGAGAGGCAGGGAAGGAAAAGAAAGGAGGGGATAAAAAGTAAAGGAAAAAAACTCCCCTGTGTTAGCCACAGCCCTTACATTCATGTTCCCTACTGGAGTGGGATTTTGCCTTTTTAATTCAGCCCAGTTTATGCCTGCTTGTAAATTTAATGGTCACTATTGTGACAGCAGATGTCCACTCAGTTTAGCTACTATTTAACATCACGTGGCATCCTGGCCAAAGCCAAAATGCAGAACAAGCTGTCTAAAACCCGAGCTGTCAAAATAAATCTCCATAGAGACATTGTCTGCTAATCCATGGGAAGTGGAGTTTAAGAAGCTGCACCAATTGTCAAAGCAAAAGCCAAAAGGACACCCATTGTGTGCTCCCAGCTATGGCGAGGGAGTCGAACTCCATCTTGAAATGACAGGCACACACGGGCCTGTAAGAAATCACGACTAGGCTGAAGCTTTACAATTAGTCCCTCTGCCAGGGCTTTCGGTGTTAGAAATCCCCACAGGGTAGGACATAAGAGTTGAAGGCTGCAGTTGGGTGTTTCAGATACAGTACTGTACGGTGGCAGCTCTGGCTTTTGGGAAATATGGGCATTGCTCCAAGGCTCACTGCTGCTCTGAGAAGCTCCTTCTCCTGCTCACTGAGGTGTACACCCTTATTTCTCATCCATTTGGACCCTTGCTGGCAATTGCTAAATTCTTTATTTATAATCTTGAGTAACAGGAAAATAAAATGGGAAACAACCTTTTGTTCTGTATTGTGCAACAGTTTTTGTCTTCTGTTCATGGACTTTAAAGCTGGTGAAGCTCACAGCAATGAATAATAATTAAATATATCCTGAAACTGTACAGGGTTTCCCAGTCAATTCTGACACTGAGGGACTTGGACATCAGCTTCTTTGGGACCCTTTTAATCTTTAGATTTCATTTTACTATTGGAATACTTTCAAAATCATTCCTCAATGTCCATTCAGTTTTCAAAACATCTTGAAAAATATTTTACAGTCCTTCTTAACACTTTTGAGTTGTTAATTTTTTTCTCAAATTTATGTCTGTGTACATGTACACTTTTGTGTCCTATGGTTTTTTATCATTTAAATACTTTTTAGTCTATTCTTTCCAGGCACTTGGAAATAAATGTGAAATTTACCACACTTAATGCAATTATAGCCTTCCAACATGCTTAAATCACACTGTGGTCAGTCTGAACATTACTTTGCATTTGTGGAATTTTTATGCATAGGTGGCATTAAAGATATTTGCAAAGACTTTATAATTCAGATACAATATTAGCCTTTCTCTGGATCTCCTCACCAGATAATCTGGACATTTTTTAAGCTGTTTGGAAAAACATATTTCAAAGCTTCAACATGTGTTTTTACATTTTGTCTTGTACTTCAACTACTTGCAGGACTCAATTTTAACCATTTTGAGCACATTATTTCATTTATATTCTGCTCAGTTCCCTTATTTTGATAGCTGTTTTCTTGCAGATCCTTTTAAGAAAATGAAATAACAAAAATTTTTAGGTACAGTTCAGAGCTATTTGGATTAATTTTTAAAATATCATTACCTTCTCCTTTAAACTTTATCCTTAATTTTTCAGTTTTACACTACTCTGATTTCCAAAATAAGTACTAAAAAATACTGTGGAAGGAGTTTGTCTCTGTTATATATCACATGTAATGCCCTTCAAGGAGTGGCTCATACTACTCTCCAAAGTGCTCAGCTCAGGCTGATGGTGCAAACCTCCTTATTTTATCCCTAAGTATTCCTGACGTGGTCCAACACTCATCTGAGAAGAAATTTTAAAACAGTAATAGTAGGGAACATTATACTCAAAGAGACTCCAAAATACTTTGCTTAATGCCAAAATATTTGAAATAGACCCCAAAAAGAAACAAATTGGTCAAAATCTGACACAAAGAGACTATTAATGGAGCAAATATTTCAAAAAGAAAACTGAACAGAACAAAGTGTCAACAAATAATAATTTTAAAACAAGCTACTAATGCAGCAATTCCAAAAGATATTCAGATGTTCATTTTGGTTCTTACAGCACATCTTGAGAATTGACTTTAACCAAGAAAGAAATTCTTTGCAGTGATGAATATTCTCCTCACCCTGCTGAAATTAGATGCCCCTACAGCTCTTCTATTACAACAGCAACAGAAAATCCAGTGAGATATTTATCTGTATGTCTGATACTACCGAAAATCTGACCCAGAGCCTTGAAGTCAGAAAATCAGTCTGCTTAATGCTTTGAAATTACACTCATATTCAGCAAGTATAGGGTTTCTCCTCTGACCCATGCCAGATGACACAGAGCTTGTACAAGTTTCTACCTACTGCCTGTCTTGTATGAATCACCAGTGAGTAGAAAGGCTTGTTTCGAAGCAGCAGCAGTTGAGATGATAAAATGTGATACCTCATCTATGAGACAGTGAGAATAACCACAGGAAAGAGAAAAGAAAAATCATATTTATTCTACTCGGGATCACTATTTATTCAAAGTGTAAAAAATATCCAATAGAGTCTGTAAAATTTAATACATCCACGGTGAATGTCACAGGAGGATCACTCCATCCTCTCTTCCTCAAAAGCAAAGAGCAACAGTGGTGTCCCAGCTGGTGCCTCTTCCATTGCCAACTCACAGACTGTGTGTCATAGTAGGTGAGAGCTGCTCCTCACCAAGGCTGGAGGCTGCAAATTAGCCCACTCGTGTCTCCAGTCAGCTGAAAAGTAAATACCTATGGTTCCCAGACAGCTCCTGTAAACTTGACTTACAGGTAAGTCCTTGGGCAGTAGGTCCACTCGGTTCACCACAGGAGAACTTTAGGACAGCCTTGATTCTTCAGGATCTTACCCATCCAGGGCCATGGCAGGGTGATTTCTGCACAGCCCAGTGGCTGCAGATGTGGGCCATCATCAGGCTTACACACAGCACTCCTTGTAACTCATCACAAAAACTGCCACTGGAAGAATATTTTTCTTCTACCTTGGAGAGAGACTAAAAATGCTCAGAAATGCAACTGTATAAATAAGTAATAAGTCTATTACATACCACATATTCCATCAGCTAATTTGTTGTATTAAAATACATAATTTTACAAAACATTATTTGCAAACCTAAAAATCTACACAGTCCAGTGATAAAAGTAGCACGCATTATTTTATACAGGGTGTATACAATAATAATTTATACAAATTCTCCCAATACAAGTTCTTTATCATTAATGTAAGGAATACAGGGAGTCTTATCAGAAACTACTGTAATGTACCCCTGTTGAAAATATTTATGTTGAGATCAAATGACTTGATTTTTCCATCAGGCCAAGAAATCTGCCATAACTGTAGAAGGACTTGCAAAATCCATACAGGGTTCCATTCCAACCCATGAATTTTGTTAATTCCCACTGTACATACAGGTCCAGCATGTGAATGGAGGTCCTTCCAATAAATTTACCAACACACATTTCAAAACAATTCAGAAAGCTTTACCAGTTTAAGTCACCACTTTAACTTGGCTAGATCTCTCCCACTCAACATTTGGCAGAACATATATAATTTTCTTCACAAATAATATTTATTACAGAGAGAAAAAAAATGTTATATACAGTATTACCACATGAGAGACTTGAATGGAAAATTATACATCAGCAAAGTACTTTGTGACAAACACCCAGATCCAAATTCCAGTGAAGCCGCAGGACTCCAATGACTGATCAGCTCACCCTGACTATGAAAGTACATTTAGATTAATATTAGACAAGTTTTTTTTTAGGGTTCTTGAACTTGTAAAATGTTTGAAACCCACAAGTCTGCCCTGAGCCTCTGCCACCATTGAGTTCATAGTCAGTTATGGCTGACATGTGCATGGCCATCCATCACAGCATCACATTCTCCTGCTCTGCATGGAGCAAGTTATTTGCAAGACCAAGTCACAAGTGCCTGGTTGACCATGTGGGTCTTCATTATCAGTTTTGCCAGGAGCACAGACAGCAATGACAGGACTAGTTTGGGAGATTTTTGCAAAACTGTCCAGTGTAGGTTTTCCAGTATGATTACAACATCACACACAATGTGCAAAGTAGGCTATTACAGGATTTTTTAACTATCATAGCTGATATAAAACATATTCTACTAATTACAATAAGGTAAAAAATACCAGCTAGGACCAATACTGAAGGATCTGTGCTGTACTGTTCAATAATATCTTAAGAATAGTGTTTAGGACAAAAATGCAATCAGAAAATGTTATTATGATTCTTGGGAGTGCATTGGTTTTTGTCTCTTGATTTCTATCTCCTTTGCACATTTCTATGAATTCAGAGTAGAGTTGTTATTATGTTGGACATATTAGAAAAGGTTGTTGTGCCTCTGCATTTAGTGATCTACTAAGCATCAAACCGCGTGTTTCATGCAAACACAGAGAATGTCAAAAGTGAGACTCTCAATCTTCCCTTTCATAGATATTTATAGTAGAATTACTAAACACTCCCCTGTTTGTCAACCAAAAGAATATCAAAAGAGCTGGGAATAAAATACCTAGTATGTTGCAGAGCAGGTACTAAACAACACCAAGCAGAACACACTCAGAAATGTTGTTAATGTCCTCACACTTACTGTGCATGCTTCATTTTACAGGGAAAAAGAAATAGTCCAGAAGAATGAGGCCATTATCACAGAAACTTTTGACTGGGTACAAAACACCAAACCCCAAGTGGTGTAAGCAACATGTTTCTGTAAAGCTTGAGCACCATCTACCCTCTTGCATCCTCTTCCAGAACATGTTGGAGACAGAAGTATTGACAGGCTGGCCTGCAGTGCTGGAGCACAGAGTCATATATACAGCCACATGCTTTCCACCTGGCAAGCTGACAATCATCCTAGCTACTATCAGCAAAAGTATTCATTAGGTTGTCCCTCTATCTTTGGTATCGCTTCAGAGTCCACGCTGGACCGGGCAGACAGCAGCCTGTTTGACTCATCAGGGGTATGTCTAGTCAAGTATTCCCCTTCCACGCCTTTTGCCTTGGCCCCAGGAGACAGGCTTTCAAAGGTGACATAGGATTCCTGAATTTCCTTGGGTTTTCGCACGAAGCATTTTTTGCAGCGCCTCTTCAGCGCTCCGCAACAGACCACCAGCGTCAGGGGAACAGCGATGACACAGGCCACGCTGATGACAACCACATTGATGAGCTTCTGGGTCCCTCCTGCACTGGCAACTTCATCCGTGGAAAATATGATGCACTGCTCCTTCCTGGGGATCAGTCCTTTCACACAGACACACACGATGTATTTGGTCTTTGGCAGCAGCCCATAGACGGTGACCTTGGTCTTCCCCGGCTCCACGTTGATCCGCCGCATGTCCCTCTCTCCAAAGATGGCATAGAGGACACTGAACACTGTCGTATTCTTTGCCAGAGGTGCTTTCCAGGCCAGGGTGATGCTCTGGTCGGTGTCTCCTATCACCCTGACACTCCTCACCATTCGTTCTGGCTCCTGCTGACCAGTGGGTGGGCTCACCAGCAGGTTTCTGGGGTTGCCGTCTTGTTCCACATCCGAGAGGAGGCCCTCTCCGGTGCCCACTCCAGCCCCCAGGGTAGGCACAGTGGAGGTGGTGATAACGTACCTTGCTACTAGTTTGTCATTGTAGGCAGCTGCTTCCATCCCACTCGCCTTCCCATTCCACGTGCCTTTGCCATTAGAGTTAGGGTCATCCGTGCTTTCAGAGTCTGTGATGATGAGAGATATGAACGCCTCTGTTGCTCCCAGAAAATTCTTCGCTTTACAGATGTACTCTCCAGAGTCAAGGTAAGAGACTACAGGCAGGCCCAGAATAGACCAGCTCATCCCATCACTGGAAATCTCCTGGTGAACTGCAAGGTAGGAAAAATGTTAAATAAATAGTCAATAATAAATAGAATTAATAACATGTTTGTAAAATATTGAAATTCCATCAACCAAATATCTGATCAATACAGTAGAGTCATCATTTCTGTTTGCCACCAAGAATGTTACAAAATCAAAGTAAACCTAAGAAGAGGACAGTAACACTAAAATTAGGTTACGTTGGGATTGAAGCTGCTTCAAAATGAATATATGTGCAGCATTTGATGGTATTTCGTCCAAACTGATGTATAATTTAAAAACATAACAGAAAAGGTTCTTCCATTAAAAAAAAAAGCTTAAAAATTCTTATGTAGGTACAATACTTAGAAGAGTGGAAGGAGTAGGGAGTAACATGATCTATTTAAACACTAGATGCAGTCCTCTGAGGCACAGAAAACACAAACAGCAGAGATTTTATTCTAATAACTGCATATGGACTAGTCCAGAGTATACGAAAAAATAATTGAAAAATAATAACCCTTTTACTGCTAAATTATTGCAGGCTTTTATACAGGTCTGATTGCTTACCACTGAATTACATGTACACAACTGAGTGTTGATTTTCCGGCTTGCTTTACCTGGAGGCTAAAACAAGCTTTTTTTGCCTTTTTCTATTCTTGCAGGAAAATAAAAAAGTTAGGATCCTGTAGAAGGGTAAAGAACCTTCTTCATTATTTAAACAGCCTCCTTAGGATGAGCACGTGCTACCTCTGCCCTTTCCCACTGCAAGGTAAACCAGGGAGATGTCTGAAAGGCAAAAGTAAGACAGAATGCAAACTTCTCCCAAGCCCTCATGGAGTCAGGATCCAACTTTGGCAACCAGCGCCAGTTCCAATGGCAGTGAAATACAACGTAGCAAAAGTTACTTTTTCAGTTTAATTATTTACTAAATGGGTACATTAGAAAACATACAGACAGCCTACCTACAGCACTTCCCTGTACATACAGACTGTGGGCTGTTTCTCACTCCTTTCTGTTCAGAACACTAACATTTCAAACAGTCATATTACAGCATTGGCACAGAAGCTGCCGTTGCTGAGAGATAATGTATCTTTTCAGCCAACTGTTTATTGAAAGGTGCTAAGGTCTGATTTAATGGGGCACAAAATCCATCATTCTCAGTTGTAGCTCAAAGTAAACTCAACATAGGCTTTCAGGAACCCATTCTCTGTTTGTTTTTTTTTTTTTTTGTGGTGTTCTCTTTCAAGTGTAGGAGGGATGTTCACAGCATGATGGGTAGACATTATCATTATGAGGAGCAGGTCTGCTACATCCTGCACACCATGCACAACAGAGCAATGACTTGTGCAGATCTCAAAAAATTATATTTATTACAAGTAGTTCTACTGCTGTGAAACAAAAATGCTCTCTTCCCTGTTCTGTGCACCAAGGAGCCCTGTAACCCTTTGAAGATCAGACCCCATACTTAGCAATTTATCTGCTGAGTTTAGATCTACTGTGAAAGTCAAGGCCAGGCCTGGAACACAGTAGTATTCAGGGAAGGTTGCAGGGATGAAGGTTCAGGTCCTAGGACAAAAAGCTAAGGACAATTGTATTCAATACAGCAAAAGTATCTTCCCTAAATTCCCCACACATTAAAGAACCAACACTGCAATTTTAGCTCCAAACATTCTTGTGAATGCAAATGAAAACATGATCAGTCACAAAATCAGTGGCTGTTTGAAGACTTCCCCCACAAAAGGGGTGGGCACAGAACAGGTACTCAGACCAGATGGTCAGTGTTTCTCCCATAAAGTTTCTTCCCAAGACACCTTGTCAATCTATCAGAAATTAATGATTTCTTGCAGACATTGCCACTGCAGATTTGTACCCTCCAGCAGTTTAGTGGTTTTTTTGTTTTTTAATATATCAGTAATGTTGTATATTTGCAGCCTTTTCTTTCTCTCTACAGCAGATCTAAATCCCAGTTGAGTTCACATCAGACATCTCTCCGTCAGACATGTTTTCTAACTGATTAACAGTAGCTATTCATTAGTCTCAAAGATGCACAGAATAATTCAGTAGGAAGCCTTGTCAGTGACTGAATAACTCAGTAACTGAGAACAGCCTCTTGCTACAGTTGGACACATTTCGTTTCTTCATCTCCAAAAGATTTGCAGAAAACTCCTTGACTCGTCTCACCACATTTGCTATGAAACAAAACCAAACCAACTTTTTACACATTATAGTATATATTTATCTGATCATATTTTCATCAACATATAAGTAATTTTATAGTCAATGGAAAATCACACTGTAGTAGTGGATTGAACACGGTACTATTGCGAATTACAGTGAATCCTAATCTTGCACCACTTGAACCTAGGAAGGTTCTGTTGTCATAGAAGCTTCCATTTGCTGAACAGTCTGTAGAAAATAAAGGTACAGGTCTCTATCACTCATTCCATGTGTGAGAAAAGGTTAAACCAAGCCCACCTGTGCCGTTCAGTTGAGCACCGTCAGCTCTCCTCCAGCTGAGCTCAGGGATGGGCACCCCTGTTGTCCCACATCGTAGCAGCACAGTACTGCCCAGGATGGTCTTTACTTTGGCTACAGAAGTGTGTACAACGGGGCTTTGACACTTCCTTAGCTCCACTTGGCTGAAGAACACTCCTGCAAGGCTCCTGGGTGTGAAGCATTTCAGCCTGGGCTCAATGAACGCTATGTTAGGAGATTGGAAATTTAGGAAATGGACCATTTCATACAGACTGCAGTCACATACCCACGGATTGTCTTGCAAGCCTGTCAAAAGAAATCAGAGCACTAAGTCACTCCAACAGCAGCTGTTGTTTCTGCCACTTTCATTTCTGTTTTTCAGCAAGACAAACTGTGATAAGCTCCCTAACTGCTCTGCAAGAAGTGTCTGTGCTTATGCAGAGGTATGTGGGGTGGGGGCTGTGATGTCCTGAAAGTCCCCTGAGCCTGATGGATCCCATGGCTGCCTGTTAGTAGAATGGAATAAATATGGCTTGCTAAAGTGTCTCAAAATCTGGATCTGAATTATTCATATTATGAAAACATTGCAATTTATGCACCTAAAGAAGCAAAACAAGAAGTTATTATAAACACAGTTGGTTCCAGGATGAAAAAAACAAGTAAGCATGGGAGAAGGGGTGTGAATTTTTTTGGTATGAGGAGACTATGAAGTCTCTTCCTTAGACAGGTCAGGAAATTCTTCTCACTGGACACTATTAAAATATTATCCATATTGTCATGCCAACTTTCATTCCTGCAATAGGTGTAGGTGATCCTACTTGACTGTAATAGTTCTCTTCCAGCCCAGTTATTCTAAGTTATCTTCATTATTTTAGTAATCAGCTAAAATGACCTGTTTTTCCTGAAATACTAATTTACACAGGATAAAACAAAAGAACTGTTTTAAAGATTAAATTGAAGAATATTCCTGCTATGGTATATAAAAGAATACAAATAGGCAATAACTATATTAAGAATATAGTTCTTATATAGAAAGGGTCTACTGAAGAGCACATTCCTGTTTCAGAGTCCCAGAATGTTTCTCCTCTTTTTTCATTCTGCTATCCCAGTTCACACCTATTGAACTCAAATTCTGAAAAAAATGAGACATCACTCAATTAAAAATAGACCTCTGAAGATAGTACTGAAAAAGCAAATTTGGAACTAGAGCAATGCATATCCATGAACAGAAGTTGCTGCATTCTGATTAAATCTGTGTCATCCTACTTACAAATATTCCCATCCAGCTGCTCTGTGGTCAGTTTGTGGTCTCTAATGGTTTTAGCTAGCAGAATTGGCACTAGGGACATTTATACCATCTAACCCAGGCACACATTTGAAGCCTAAGCCAGGAGCATGGCTCCCAGGCCTCCTGCCTGCCACAGGAGTGAGCTCTGCTTCCTCTAAGGGGGCTCCACCTCCTCTTTTCCACAGGCAGCCCAAGGACATGCCCTGGGGCTGGCACCTGCCTCAAAGTAAAGAGTACTAACATTTCCTCCATTCCTGGTGGGAGGAAATGACAGCTGCCCACCCTACAGTGCCCACCCTCACTGGGCCCTGGAGCCCTGCAGCACGAATCATGCAAGCACAGGCTTTCCAGCCAGAACCTAATTTTGACACATGCACAGACGGTGCACCACAAGGCTCCATGAGCATCAAGGGGGTGTTTGAATTTGCTACAGTCAACAGAGACACAGTGCTGATCAAAAGCCCCCAAGGTCTCAAACAAAGTGTTTTAAAGATGCTGCTGGAAAATTTCTTCTGAGATGATTCCATATCATCCTCCCTGAGCTCGGAAGAGGATGTGAAAGTGATGGGTCTTGGCAGGAGGTCAATTCTTATAAATCAATGCATTAAAATGAAGGGGACTAAATAAAGAAAGAAAGTACAGCTTGACTCTGTTGGTTTATGGCATTTTTGCTAGCATACTTCTTTGCAGCTTATTTCTGACCTCATGCACTAGATACTAATTTATCCCAGATTACCTGGCAGGTGCGCCAGCTCCAGCTGATGCTGCAGCACCCCCAAAGCCCCAAAGTGAGCTCTTTGTTTCCCTGCACAGCACACTTCCATGGGCTCACGTGGGCAATCCTCATGTGGAAAAGCTTGCACCCTTGGCACAGACTATCAGCCAGCAACTTAACAGAGGAGCTATATCTTGAAGTAGTCTACAAACAAGGGCTCTGAAGAGAAGTCACAGTGATGCATGGTAGATAAAGGATGGATTTGGCTGACTCTTTAATATTCATGACTTTTTATGCCTCCATGAGAAACAGGCATGAGCAGAGTGAAACAGAAACAAGCAGCTGTGTTCTCCCACACTGCTCCTGTGAGGGACATGCATTTTATCTACCTGGTCCCTCTGAGTATCAGTAGGACAGGACCTAGAAGCTGGAGTGTCTATACATTACTGCATTAATTTTAGCATTATAGGCATTTGCCTACATGAATATTTTAGTATCCTGGTACATTCCACCTTTGCACAGCTGGATACGTAAACACTCAGGTTGGCCAGAGCATCAAGGCACAATCTGTTCTTCTCAATAAAACACTTTACTATTCTATATTGAATGGAATAACATTTTTACATGTAACTTGATGCTAAAAAATAAAAGAAGTATGATCTAGGCAGTGTCTTGCCACGAGTGAAATGGGCAATCCCAAACTGCCAGCTTTGGTTTAAAGAACTTGTTACTGCATCTGGTAAAACAGCACAGTGAAACACCTGCTCCTCTCCTGATGCTAATGAAACCTTAAACAACATCTGTAAAGGACACTAAAAGCTTTGTAGGTGGCATTTTGTACCTTTTTTAAGTCTTGTATCTCTTTCCACTGCAATCGTTTTTAAAAAACTTTACTCTCCTAAATTTATCCAGGGAACAAAGAGCAGCAGCCAGAGCAAGAGGAAACTTGCAATGTCTCTGATGAGATTATCAGCAAGAGCCTGAACTCACATCCATGCTGTAGAGGCAGTACACACAGATGCACACAGCCTGCAGACCAAACACAGTCAGTGGAGCTGGATCAGCTCAAGGCAAGTGAAAACAGCAGATGGCAACAACTCTGAAACATCATCAACCTACCATGGATTTGAATCAGCACTCAAATGTTAAGAGACTAAGTAGTAATCCCCTGAACTAATAAATGTGCTGAAATCTCACTTGGGGATACTGCAACTGAGAGTCAGCTGACACAAAAATGGACAATTGCCCCAAAGCCATACCTCTGAGGGGCCCAGCATTGACAAACATACAAAGATTCAAGCAAGTAATCAAATTTATGGTGTAATAAGCTGGGTTTGATGAGCCTGAGGTGAATTTGTTAACATGTAAATGAATTTACACACTCTATATAGGGTATTAAATTGAATATATATAATGGCAATGTACTTGCTACGGTAACCACAATGGGTGAAAATGCTGCAATAAGATGAGAAACTCTTGCCATTTGTGCCCCCTGCAAAATGACAGGCACTCCTCTTACCTAGGATGATCTTGGAGTTGTCATTGGGGAAGTAAGGAACAGCCTGGAGGTTTGCCCAGGTGGCAATAAGAGCCTGAGGAAGAGTCATCAGCTTATTGCTAGACAGATCCAGGTATGTGATATTCTTGATATAACGAGCAGCATCTGGAGGGACTGAGGTAAGTTCATTGTTGTGTAAATCCAGAAGCCTCAGCTGTGGCATGCCAGCCAGGGCTTCCCAGGGGAAAGCTATTAAATTGTTCCCATCTAGCCTCAGCTCCTGTAGGCGATGAAGGCCCTTGAAGGTGATTCCGCTGAGGCTGGCCAGGGAGTTATAGGGCATCCAGAGGTACTCCAGGTTGTGAAGTAGGTGGAAAGCCTCTCCTGGCACCCTGCGAATGGCTGTCTTTTCTATCCGAAGCTTGATTGTATCTACGGGGATGTTCACAGGAGGGAGGGTCATCTCTGGGTCATTACACAGCACTGTCCTGGTGGGGAAAGACAAGCAAAGGTGTGACTTTCTTTTATTTTGAAAAGGTTTTGAAGCTTTCTTTCAATGCAAGATTTTGATCTGCTTTTGTTTTTTCACAAGATTTCTTCTTGTCATTTCTTACTTGCTGCTGATCTCTACATCATCACCATAAGGACATCAACATTCATATGCACCTTCTGACTGCAGAGATTGCAGCGCTGTGCTACTCCTGGGGTGACATGAGTCTGAATCTGGCCCATATAGTGTTCCTGCTGTTTTTTGCTTTCAGGTTTTTTTAGAGTACTTATGAGAGACAGTAGTGACAACATTGATGCACAACAGAGGATTCTAGTGCAAGATAAAACAAAACAATCCAAAAATTGAACAATAAAAGCCATATAAAAAGAAGCCTTACTGACGTCGGAGGATAAGAAGTTATATAGATTAAATATGACACAGGACCTTTGATTTGAAAAATGAAGATAAGAAAGTCAGCTAACAGCTCACTGGAAATGCACTAGAGCAAGCTCTGCTTTACTGTGAAGTAATCTGGAAGGTGTGTAGAGGTGGTAGCACTCACTGCACCACAGGCACAGAAAATTAACTCTTTGGAAAATGCTACACTGAAAGCAAGGCAGATTTATGTGTTTTAATCATTCTTCCCATTCCTAGTCTCTAGCAGTCAAAGCATGAAAAGTCTGCTGCATTTTTGCAGCCTTCATACAAAAAATTGTGACTTGGGATTGTAGATAGCCATGAGAAATGAAGTGAGACAAAAAAGGTCTCTCAGACCAAACTGCATTTTAGTTTGCCTATCAGCAGGTAGAGGAAGGCAAATTCTTAACAAAATACAAAGCCACCTGCAAAAGATAACAGGTAAAATAGGCATGTTCCACTCCACATGCTAAACAAGATACTGCAAGAAATGTAATGTGATCAGTCAAGTAACATTTTCTTATCACGCTGCCTCTATAAACAGAATATTGCAAAGCTGCCAAAACCAGATTGGTTTTGGCTGAAAGCAATTATTCCTCATGTATCAACAAAAACATATAACAATGCTGAACTGCTCATGCAAACCTCCCAGAGTTAAATGCTATTTGAGCCTACAGTTAAACTGTAAATTTATAATCAAAACACAGTACATTACTCTCATCAAACACTTTTATTGTGGCATTAAATCCTACCCACCCTCAGCTGAAAATTGAGATTTTGAGGAAGAGAAAAATCTATCAAATAAGAAAAATTCAAAAATCCTCTTTGAATAAAACATTTTTTTGTGTGTAGTCATGACATAAAATGTTTGCTAACAGAAACACCATGGCAGTAAAGCAGCGTGCTTCTCATAGTGTCCTTAAACTATGTCAGTGAGCACTAAACATTTAATCTATGGGATAATCTCCTTCTGCTAGTGAGAAATATGAATCATAACACAGGAAAAAAAGGTGACATTATGCTCCTTAAGGGACTAATGGATATTTGCATTATTATGTATCTTACTAAAATGCACAACAGCTTTTTCCAGTCACTGCAAGGAAATTCCCCTGGGAACTGTGACATTTATGAAGCAATAATTGGTTGTCACACTATTGTGCTCCCTTTTAACGATTGCAGACTACTTGTGTCTCTACCATGCTTCTTACTGGCAAAGTTTATGGTATTAAATCTATAGCACCAGAAAAGAGATAAGAAAGTAGATCTATTTCATGGGGATCCAAAATATTTAATTTCAATACCATGTTCTTGTCTAAAAAAAATTTATTCCAAAGGATTTTGCAAATCACGTATCTCTGTCACAAAACCTCCTCTACTGTGACCCGCACCTTACAAAAATGTAGCCTCTATTTCATTGTCAGACAATTACTTTGTGATTACACTTCAGAACGGTTATAAAAAACAGTCCTCCAGAGAAATGTACATAGTATAGCACTGCATTCAAAAATGGAGGTCCTTTTGGTCTCGTCTTGTTTTTTAACTGAAAGCTTCCAGTCTGAGAATTAACTTCTTTTATTTTTATGACTATTGTCTATTTTTTTGGTTCATTCTCATCTACAGTCTATTGCTTTGCCTAAAATCTCCAGCTGAAGGACTTTTTTAAGTGAATTGAATTGCCGCTTTTGTTACCACAACATAAATCAAATCTAGTTACACTTTAGGAACAAATCAGCAGAGCGGAATAAGACTTCTTAAATCTAGAATTTTCAACACAGAGGTAAAAAAACAAAAGGTTGTTTAAATTTTATTCCCTTTTTGCCATTACACCAGCAGTAATTATGTCACTTCTCACAGAGATGCCGAAACGCTTTCTCTGAAATCAGCTTACTGTGTTTTCAGAAGCTAATCCTCTGCAAATATAGCTAGAGCACACAGTGACTGGAAAAAATAATGGACACAAAGTCTGGACACAATATTTTCTCTTCCAAGCCTCCTTACAAAGGAGAGGAAACAAAATCCCCAGCACCCCGAGAAAGAGCGGCAGCCCCCGAGGAGAGTCCCGGCATACCTGGCTTTGGTCCCTTCACTGAGGCTGTGGAAGGCGCAGCTGCACTGGGATGGGCACGAGCCGCTCGCCCCTGGCAGCCCCCCGAGCGTGAGGCAACACAGCAAACTCACCACGATCCACATGGCTACCTGAGCATGGAAGGACACCTGGGCTCTACACAACGTGGAGGGCTTCGCCTATTGTTTTATCCATTGACTGGTCACATCTTGTTAACTCCCTTTTGTTTTCAGCCACACTGTGATCTTCCAGCCCTCGCTGAGTCCATCAGATAAAAAAGGATAGGCAGGGATTAAGGATGGGGACTTGAGTTATTTTCATGAAGGTGCTTATTGCTTCCTGGAACAGTACTAACGGCATTTCTTCCTTCAGGGAGCCCCTTCAAAACATCCTCCTCAGGAAATTTGTGGCTCTTGTGCAAGGAAAACAAACATACTTTCTTGGGACCTGCATCACAGGCAAGGTAACTGTTATCTGACCAGGAATTAGCAGTCATTTACTTCCTCATGGGGATATTGGGAAGATTTAAGACAGTTGTTTGTGCTAATGGAATGTAAGCCTCCTATATAAGAATACTAATATATATATATAGCGATGCTATTAAAAGGCTTTATTTTCTTTTAAAAACTCCTACTTTGATCAAGCAATTATTGAACTGTCGGCAACATGCCTGATATCGATAAACAGTTAATAACCTAGTAAATATGCACATATTTCAGTTTATATCAGGACTAGCACATGCTCTGACTTGCTGACGAAGCAAAGCTCAGATAAGGGACCAATTTTTGCTACTTGATAAGGGAGCAGAATCCTATTCAAACTAACAAAAGACATCTCATGTTTATAAAGACTATTATTTTCCAACAAGTGTGAAAGTATATAAATTACTTATACCACAAATGCACAATACTCTTACCAAAGCAAAATGCTCAAATGCTTTGGAGAAACTGATAGATAATTACTTTCAGCCTGATCAGATTGCTACCCCCCACTTCCCAGACATACTGCATTATAGCTTTGGCAAGAAAATCAACCCCTGTGCCAGACACAAAACAGAAAACACAAGTTAAAAGTTAACAGAAATGAAGAGGGACTGAATGGAGCTGAAGAGCTAGTGATAAAGCACTAACCAGACACTACTCCTGCAGAGATGCTTTAGTGAAATATTTCTCTTCCAGTTCTGGAGCTCAGGAGAGCTTCAGTGCCAGCAAGTGTTACAGGAGAGAGTCTCAGATGCCCCACTCCAGCCTAAAACATGAGCAATTCTACTAAAATCCTGGGCCTGGCCATCTGCTTCCCCCATAGAAATGGGAGAAAATGTGGCTGACTGAGGCAGAAGCCATCCAGCATCCTGTTGGCCTTTCAGCATCAGTCACCAGCTTTCCTTTTCCTTACCAAAGGTCAAAGAAAAAGGGAAAGAAATTACAACAACAAAGATTTCTCTAAACATTAGGTTTTCTTAGATCTTAATTACAGTCATATTGATCAGAAAAAAGTGTCCATCCCACTCTCTTTTGTCAGTATTTGAAGTTGCTGTGGCTCTTCTATCCACCTCTCATAGATATCCATCTCAATTCAGATGTCACTAGGAGAGAACTACAGTTCTGTACCATTTTAATAGTCTGGTTGTATCTACAGCTGCCCTTCTGCAGAGATGCATGTTAGAATCAAATCATATGAACTGCCATAAAACCAAGGAAGAAATATGAACAATCTAGTAAAAAAGGCATTTTGGAGGTTAGAAGAAAAGATGGGGGAAAAAATTGTAATAAAACATTAAATAAATAAATAAATAAGGACAAAAAGCCCTCCACCACAGATCATTCAACATGTAAAAGTTCCAACCGAAAGTGCTATGAGAGACAGACACATTTGGAAGAGCTGTTATGGATGTTACTCCTTAAAACTCACATTTCTTCCAGGCTTGTGCAGCCATGTCAGATCCCTGACAAAAGACCAGCAAGGTGGAAAGGATGTTCTAAAATAAGCTTAATACAGGCAACTTCAGTTGCCAGTTGCTGAAGCTGGTCTCTTTTCATGTTGACAACAGAGGCAATTAAGGGTGCCCAGTTCTCCAGCAAAGCTGAGTGCAGAAGGCTACATGGTGTAACTACTCTCACATCTCCTCTGCTTCCCCACTGCCTCCTGTTCTCCTGTCCAGGCTGAGGATCCACCCCTGCGAGGAGGATCCTTATAGGATGTACTGGCTGAGGTAGCTCCAGCCCCTCTTCACCTCTCTTTTCCAGCATTCCTCCTTGTTGCCAACCGGTTGATTTTGCTTCTCCTTTCAAAAACATAATCAGAAGTTACCAGTCAGAAGTGCAGCAGTAAGATACAAACCAACTGAAGTTTAACAAGCATGCTACAGCAACGTTGTACCTAACAAAGGTTGCTCACCAGGATTTCTGCAGCATTGCTGTTCTCATGCAGAATTCATCCTGTGTTCTTCAGCAGAATGAAATTAAACTGGCAATTTTTCAATAATTCTTGGTAATGAACTCCCAGACTTTCAAGGTAATCTAGATGTGGTTTGGGGCTAACAATTAAACAGACATTTTATGGTGCCATAGTTTCACATAAGCTTGTTTCACAAGTTACTCCGATAATTAATTAAGGCTTGTAGCAATCACTTATAGAGAGGATGGCCCAAAGGATTACTTTTCACTCTGCTATTTTCACATTCTACTTTTGCTGTTGTTCAAAGAGAAATTCAAGTATCTCATTATTTATTTCTGACGAGATGAGAACATGATGCAGTGCTGCTCATTAAAGATCCCTAGTCATTCTTTCATTGACTTCCATTAGGTCCCATTTCTAGGTTTAATGATTTTTCAGTTCCCTTAATAATCTCCGAGCTGAGACCAAGCTTATCAGGTTTTTTAGTGTACTCATTGGTCAACTTGCCTTGCTGCCCAGACTCTGCCTCAGCTCAATACTCTCAACAGTGACTGAAACATCTGAAGTTAAATTCTAATTGAAAAAGCAATTCAACATAATTAACCTCTTGCCTCTATTTTTTTTCAATACATCTGATAAAGTGATTTCCCTCCATTGGATCTCTGGAATAATAAACTTGTAGAAAGTAGCCAGTAACTGTATGGTAAGGTTTGCTTTCATGAACCTCAGTTTTGCCTCACTAATTAAACATTTAAGTTACAACTAAATGCCAGGAGCAGTAGAAGTAAACTTAATTTGTAAATCAACAGCAATCAATAAAGCATGCCTCAGCAGCAGCTAATACCCTGCACTTTGTCAAGAAAGCTGCTATTTAGTTAACATGACAGACTCACTTCTGAACGAGAAAGAGAAAGACCTGGAGGTAGGCTGAGAGATTAATAAAACAAGAAAAGAGGTAACATTAACAGGTTTCTCACCTTGGAGTGTATTCACAAGTGTGTCTCTGAAAGGAGGAAAAGAGAGGGAAAAGGACCAATCAACTAATAACCCAGTTATGTTTTATCAGCACTTACATGTTTGAGTTTTTCCTCCCCGCTGACTATATTATCTTATAATCCTTCATTGATACATCACCACCAAATGGTGCAAATGATGGGTTAGGCAAGGAGCCACAGATACACTCCCTGTTAGGCTTGATCTGAATGGTCAAGAGAGGGGGACTGCCCTCAACCTGAGGAAACTCAACAAGAGGTTCATCAGTAGGTGAGGAAAGCAGCTCAGGTAGATGAAAGACAGAAAACTGGAAGCAAAATCTGGCCACTGTGTTCAACAGACTATGAATTCACCTTTACACACAATTCTGTTTTTTCCTGAAGCACTGTTTGCAGTGCAACAGCTTTCTAGATTTTCATGGTATTTTTAAGGCTTAGGTGTATTACCTTCTCCCAACTACTGAACAGTTACTCACACATTATGCTATTTAATGTAAAATGAACACTCATTAGATAATTTCCTTGTAAGTGCAGGTGATATTTGAGATTGTAAAATCAATATCAACTTTTGCAGTGCAGAGTAAAAACAATTTTTTTCATGACAGACAGTTCCATTCCATAATGAAACTAGTGGGAGTTAGGCTCTCCACTTACAGTTTGCACTCCAAATCATACAAATTGTGCTCCTTGCTGCTTACCTAGGAAGGGAAGTAAACAGTTTCTTCTCTGCACCAAACTAAAAATCTCAGTTGAAGGAAAAAAACATACAAAGAAGCAGTCAGCAAGTGTCATTCATCTGAAGTGTAAGAATTTGTTTTGCATTCTCCTAGAATAACCAGAACCTCTATTTATATTTTTGGCGTAAGTAAATACAAAGCAAATGGGGTCAAGCTCTACTGTCAGCAAAGTTCAGCACAAGGCAATCTTTCTTATCTTTCCTTGGTGGGGTATAATTCAGAGAAAAAAATTTGATTTGTGTTTAATAAGATTAAATTAATCATTTGGCATAGTTTCCATTTTTCCTTATACAGATTTTTAAAGCCAGAAATGTTTTATCAGAAGATTCTACTCACGAGCTCAAAAGCAAAGCCTGAGTGACAAACTCAATATGCTCACCTCAGTCACTCATTTTTAATCTGGCAATTGGACAGAATTTATTTTTACTTCTTTTCCCCATATGAAAATAGAAAAATATGGCATAAAGCAAATCAAACAGCATATTTTAGCATAAATGAAAAGTATAAAATACCTTATTATCATGATTTTGTCTGAAAGGTTTTATTAGCAGGCAACACGGGCCAGACACTAAATCAATTTGATTAGATAAATGCATCTCCAAGAAGCTTCTTGTACAGTGGAAAATCCTTCCCACTGATGCAAGTCGAGAGCACGTTGATACATTACGTCATTCTAAATTGGATCTTGCACTTAATGCTGATGAAGGCAGCTCCCCAGACCTATAGGGCCAAAGCCATTAATAGACTTCTAGACATGCTGAAAAAATACAACAAACCCAAACAGGTTTTGGCATGGAACGTTAAAAGTCTATCAGTGGTATTTCTTTTCTGCATACATTTACCTTAGCATAGATTTACAGAACCATAGCTCTTCTACTCTTCTTCTCCAAAGGCCCCACAGCGACAGGCAAATTCCACTGGGATTGGACATACAGGAGCCCAGAGCAAAATCCTCTGGGACAAACTCTTAGTACGCTCCTTTGCAGAGGGAAATCAGAA